CAAAGCTTACCGGCTGTATAGACACACAAGAAGTGCCATCTAATCTTTCAATAGTTCCAGTTATTTTCTAAAGCATACTACACCTTCCAGCAAAAATTTCTTTCACTGTCTGTCATTAAATCAGTATTCTGAATGACAATAGACTGCACAACATACAAACTAGAATGAGCAACGAAAAGACACATCCAATATCTAGGCTATGCCAAAGTGACCTTCTCTACTAAACATATATGCACAACTGCTGTCTCCTCTCTTGCCTGAAAGACACTCATTTCCTATCACCGTAAACATTCCAATGACTTAGCTGAGTATATAAAGAAATAATGATCTTGATTGATATTCTTCCTTCCTGTGAAAATTCCTACAGGAATTAGGAAGAAGGAATCAGAAAGGAGGAAAATCCTGTGGAAGAATATGAAGTGAACATTACTTGATTGATCCTCCTTTGCAGTGTGGTGATAACTTCTCCAGACTTGGTCTGAGCCACACTGATTATGAGCTTCATGTGGTGCTATTTGTGGTGTATCTGTTCTAAGTACATGCAACAGAGAAGTTCCTTTCTTAGGTTAGTTAAGTCTGTATTGTCCTCTGTTATTTTGACATTGTGACCTCAAATGGCTTCCATCTTTGCCCATATTCCCCTCTTACGTTTATCCCGTTAGTCTTTTCTCACCTGAAAAGGGGCAGCCACTTGCTACTTCGGAGGATTTGGATAAATCTGAGACTTAGTTTGCTCTTTCTCAGACATCCTTTAGCTTCCTACAAGGGTATATGCACTTCACTGTAGAAAAGGGAGAACAGTTTTGCTTGGATTTGGTTTGTACTTAAGTACAAGAGAATACAGTCATGCTGTAAAAGGAATTAATGAAATAAGATGAACACTGTAAATTGAATGAACTGAGTGTATCTGTATCACTAAGTTGAACTTCAGCTAACAGTAAGGCTATTTTTTGCTTTTATTAATCATACTTTACTGAATTTGAGTCATATTTTTTCAAACTAAACTTCAGTCGAGCACTGTTTACTTATTGATGTATTCAGATTGGCTATTATTCAATACGAGTAATCATGTTTGGTCTCTCTTGTGGATATGCTCCTCCAGAATCTCACTCTTCTTTTCAGCGGCAATGGTGGTGAATATTTGGGAAGTCCCTTTGGGGAATTTCCTCTCTCATTTAGTTTTTCTGTTGTACTCTTCACACCCGCTCTCTGCTCCCAACTCTGCCATCTGCTATACTTTCTTTCCCCCTCCACTCTGTTCAGCTTTGGCTTCTTCACACCCCACTCCCACGTCCCTTTCTGTCTCTCTTCATCTGCCCACCACTCAATCTCTTCAATGTTTGGGTATGGAACTAAGCCCACAAGAATGGGTCAGAACTTTAAAGGGGGAGGGCGGTTACTTTGGGGGGATGTTTTGATTTGTTTGTTGCTGTTGTTTTTTGGTTGTTTCTTTTTTTAAAAAAATCTATTTAGGCCTTTGTGAGTCCAGCACACATCCACTGGAGAAGCAGAAACCCAAATACTGATTTTTTTATAAGAAAGCTATGTGAGGTGCATTGTCATCCAAGTTTGTCTGGTGAACAGCTTGCTGCAGCTCTACATTTTTGTGCACATGTTATGCATGCATATTAGCAAGTCATCTTTGTCTTGAGGAGTAAAGATCTTGCACATAATTTGCCTAGTTACTTTACAGTTACAGTAGCTAGAATACATACTTCAGTCTTCATGCAGCACAGAGAAAACCGTTCTGTTCCCCTCTATTTTCTTAAGTTTTAGAGAACAGAATTTAACTGTAATTTATCCTAGTGTCCAGAGAGAATAATGGCGTTTTACAGCAACAGTCTTATGTGGTCATGAAATTTATTCTTGTATCAAAAAGGTACAGCAAACGTATTTAGAAACTGTAGGATGTTCGTCTTACTAGTACAAGCTGGATTTCAGAATGACTAAACAGAAAGATTTGAACTTTAGTGTTGTTATTTGAATGCTGTTTAGCTGTAATGGGTTTATTCAGTTAATTTAAATGTCTTTATGTGAGTGTACATTTTTCTTTTAATATTCCCAGAGTTTGTTTTTAAAATGTATTTTGCCTGTGTTTTAGGATATAGAAGCAGCAGAAAAAAAGCTGCAAGAACGAGTGTATTTACTTCCACATCCCGATACTGTTAAGTTAGAAGTAAGTCCTAGAACGCTGTCTTTTCATTTGCTGTTTACCAAATAATTTGCCTTTTTTCACCCCTGAAGCATGTTCTTAAAGTGAAAATAATTGATTTTAAAATCCAGTGACTGGTATAGCCAAAGGCCTGTGTACTGTGTAGCAAGCTGAACCTAAATTCTGGGGCAAGGTCCCTAGGTTCTGGAGCATTCTGGTGGAAATATTTAGCAGCTTTCAGATCTATACAAAGTATATATTCTATTCTATTTAAAAATGAAGTCAAATATAAAAATGAATACTGTGACTATCAGAAGATTACTGTGTTTATTATGTCAGAGCTATTTAGTTTGTTTTATATGGTCATCCCATTTTCAGTTTGCCACAGATTGTCATCTTTCCATTTCAGGGTCAAGAGTTATCAGCATGAACAGAGGAATTTTTACTCCTCACAGTTATTTTATGGTTGTATGGGAGCTTATGAAAAGTACTGCTACAGCAGGAACGCTCTATTTTTACTTCTCAACCTGTAGTCCCTAAAACATTATTTAAAGATAAAGATTTTGAACAGCAAGTTACTCTGAGAACTAAATATTATCCTGATACAACGTAACAAGTTTAGTTCCCCAGTTTCAAGACTGTTTATCAGTATTATGCAGTAATGAATGAATGATGAGGACAGAAACAGTCCTGGGAACAGGAATTGGAGCACAGCTCTTCCTGATGCAAACTAAGTATCTCAACCACAAGGCCACTGAGTCGGATTCCCGCTCGTGTTTCTTGCACCAGTGGTTTGTGGGTTCTTTATTGTGGTGGCTTAGTTTCCACAGGCATAGTAGCACAGGGTGTCCCACACTAGTTTGTGTGCTAGGGCACTGTCAAAGGAGGGGAAAGGTACAGATTTTAGCGCTGTCAGCCTGTGAAGACAAGTGTATTGTACATTAGTTTCACAGCTGCTGGGCAAGTGTTGTAATGCTTAGGCTATTAAATGAGAGGCATTACTTCCCGTTCTGGTTACTGTTAAAAGTGTTTGTCTGTCATTGCATTTTGTCAATAGCCTACCCCTATCACTGTGATAGGATGCACACTGAGTATGCCCGTTCAGGGATTTTTTTTTTTTAGGGATTTTAGGCAAAAGGGTACATTTTTTCCTGGATACCTGTACATCTTTAAAGATGCCAAGCTACTAATATTGAACCTATTTTGACTGTGTTCAGAAGTAGTTTCAGACTTCTAGAGGAGTTTCAAGGCACCTCTAGAGTTGTTTGGATCAGTTTTGGACTGCTTCTCCCTCTGTCCTGTGTTAGGTGTTAAGCTGCTTGCGGGACGTAGACCGAAGTCTGCACAAATGAGAGAATGCAGAGCAATTGCTTATGGCTGCAGAGATGCCTACGCTCTGCAGCAGCGGTTGAATTTTAGAGAGAACAGAGTTACTATTTGAAGGAGAAGACGCTATTTCAGCCTTTTTTATACTTCTGAAGAAGAGTGCTATAAATAGCAGAAAAAGAAAACTTTCTTTCATGGTACAAAATTCTTGCGCGTGCTTTGTTCCAAAACACTTCTGAGCATATTTCACTCAGCCATATATGTGTCTGTATTAATATACTTTGAAAGTTATGGCTATAATGGATCCCCAGCTTGCTAAGTCAGAGTAGTTTTGTGTGACAGCACATATGCTTGTCAAAGAAGATTCTTTGAGTAAATCTGTTGAAGAAAATATTTTTGTAAATCTGCAAGAGCCATAGTTATATCTGAGTTACACGTAGGGATCAAAATGATTAGCCAGGAATCTAATGCTCTGCAGGGAGATGTTCAGTTTTGTGGTACACTTCTTCTACATTATATACTTAAACAAGTAAAGAAAAAAAGGCTTGACACATATGTGCCATAAATGTTTTCTACTACAAAATTACTTTTTTCTGAATGGACATCAATGTCTAAAAATACTTACGCTTACATTGGTGGATGGACTAAAGTGTTGGCTTAATATAGCTCTTTGATCACAGTATTTTGTGGAAAAAAATGATACATGGCACTTAAAAATTTCTTCAAAATCCTACAAACAACAAAGTTACCCTTAGGATACCAACACAAAAACGATGAATGGTATGGCCATTCCACAGATAAAACAGAAGTTAAATTTATTACTCAGAGGCACAGGGTGATGCAGAGAAAGGGTTAGATAATCCATAGTGGTTTTCCTAGACCACAGGATAAGTATACAGCTTTTCTTTTTTTTTTTTTCAGTTGTGATCCAAATACCGGATCTGATTACTTCGTCAGTGATTTATCACACCTAAAGTTTTACTCAAATATTTTGAACTACATTACTGCAAACTTTTCTAGGGTAACCAATTTACATAGCACTTTTCGTTTATAACATTAAACAATTCTTTTCACTTCAAAATTAAATTCCACTAACATACATACTTAAATATAAAAGCTGCTTTTGGAAAAGTTTATTATTATGGAAAATATTTTATTAAAGGTACTGTGAGAGTCTAAACTAATCTGTTGCTTACCACAAGAGGGCACATTCAGTCACTTCACAGTTCCTGCTGCAGAATGAAATCCTTCCAAGCTGGTATTTTGTATCATACAAGAGATTTGAAATTTCTTGTTGAAGTACGTTGTTCTTTTCTGAATTGCTTCACTCATAAGGCAAGATTTATTAATGCATTGCGTATCTATATTGTTTTTAAGTGGGTTGACACAGATTTTGAAATTAAGTTTATGTTTTCTTATATCTTTCTCAGACTCTCTATTGGGCATCAATTAAAGAATCTCTTCCCAAGTGGGAACAGTTTCTTTTAGGAAGAGCAGAAGTTCCTATTGGTTTTAAGAAAATGAAAACTGCAAACCAGAACGTAAGCTGCCCAGAAGAAGATTCACAAAAATAAACACTCTAGTTTCATTTTGTGTTGTAATTTATGGCTTAAGCAGACAAGATCATCCAGATCAGGCAACAGAATATCATGCCATTAAATTGTAATGTAAATCATTTAAATGAAAATTAACCATATTGGATAATTTGCTTCCATTGTCTCATTGTATACAATTATTTTTATTCTGTAGTAGAGAAGCAATCCTCAAAGTGGCTTTTAGGATCAAAAGTGAGAAACACTGGTGTATAGAAACCCACCAAGGCAATTGCTTTTTCAGTATGAGAGGAGTTTTAGGTTATTTTTAATCCTCTGCTTCTACATATAAGTGCGATAAGTAAAGACAGATTCATGCATTATCTTTCTTCACTGCAGTCATCTGTGCTGTATGTCTTTGTGGATGAGGGAGAAAGGAGGAATTTACCATTAACAGGAAAGGCAGGCTGTTTGAATCAGACAGAGTAGCCTTGGTTTAGTACCAGGAATCTGTGTAAAAACCTTCGTGAGAGCAGTTGTAAAAGGAACACCTTGAATTTCCGCATCTTGCTTTCCCTGATTTTTGTCATTGCCACTTTCATTGCTTCTACACCTCGCTCCAGTAACCACTGCTGCTTTCTCCAACCTCCTGCTGCCTACTTTGTATCTCCTGTCTAATGGGTGGGTAAAGACAAGAAAAAGTAAACAAACCTCTAGGGTTTTTTGCTACTTCTAGGCTGCTCTTAATGCTGTTTTCTTTATGTTGACATAATCTACAAGTGAGAACTTTTGCTTAGGCATGAAAAGTTTGAAAGAAGCAAACCAAAAGGTAGCTGGCAGTGGCTGTCCAAGAACCAAGCATGTATAGAAGTTGTGGAGATAATATTTTCATTTTCAGCCATTGAACAGCTCCTCAGCTTCTTCCTACAGAGGTGCAGTATCTTTGCACCAGGAATCTGTGTAAAAACCTTCGTGAGAGCAGTTGTAAAAGGAACACCTTGAATTTCCGCATCTTGCTTTCCCTGATTTTTGTCATTGCCACTTTCATTGCTTTCGTTGTATGGTGGGCTAGCTCAATATGAAAATTTCACTGCTCTAGTGCAGTGCTTTTTAAAGTATCGGTTCAGGGGAAGAGCCTTCCAAGGATTGTGAGTTGGCCTGCAGAAATTTAATCCTTCCTCAGCAAAGAAAGCCTAGAAAAAAATATTTTTTTAAAATTAAGAACCTGGACTTGAGTCAATATATTGTTAAAATTTGATCTCATATGCAACAACATACTTCCACCCCTGACCTGAAAGTAGGAGAAGAAAATTTTACCTCTGCCAGTGTTTGAGGGTATGAAAATGTAATGATTACAAATTTTGCTAGGCTACTATGGAACTGATCAATGCATCTCCATGCTACATAGAGGTATTTTTTTAATAGTAGGGATGTTTTAATGACTTTTATTGAAACTGAGGTACTTAGCAACATTTCTCATAAATGTCCTGACTGCTTTGGATCTGGGCACTAAAAAGCTTGTGTTTGTTTAGTTAATTAAACATAGTTAAGTTATTCACTGATTAGCTGTTCATGGGGAGTTTATGGTCCAGTCAGAACTAGAGAATTAACTTCTAGCTGAGAACTATAGGAAGTCTGGGTAATCTTTAAGAACCAACATCTGCAGATGCTGTTCGTGAAATTAGGCACTCAGTTTTGTCTAAATTTAAATTAGCTAAAGAATCACTGACACAATAAAATCAAAACTTCAGCTGCTATATAAAATTGTTGTGTGTTTTCAATGGGAATACTGAGAGTTCATTTAAAACTTTTTCTATTGAAGTGTCCATTAAACTGATAAGTTTTTACAGAAACTGCCATCTTAGAAATATCCTGTTGAGTGGGTGTTGGTGTTTGTAACAATAACGTTGTTTTCATAATATGTGATGGCAGATTAGCACGCTTCTCTGCAGTGTTGTTAACAGTTGTAATTAAGGAATAAACAGTAAAGGGTGTCAGTCCGATGACAATTTCATCTATAGTGTCACAATACAAAATGTCACAAAATATTAGAACTGTTATATAACTACAAAAATATCAAATTAGGCTTTCATCTTACAAGCAGAGAGCTTAAAAAAAACCCTGGCATAGAGACCATTGCAATTTTATACCTACTCAGTGTTCTGTCACAAAGACAACTTGGTAATATTTTCTTCTGTAAGATCACAATGCGGTTCTCAATCTGATTTAGTGGGAATGTGTATGGTTCTTAGAGTTGTAGAGCTCAAATTTAAAAAGCAAATAATTGGAACCCGTTGAGCAGACAAGAAGGAAAAAGCTATTACACATGATGCCCAAAATGAAGGGATGGGTGAGCAGTTAGTTGCTAACAAAGGCTAGGATTCATCCTGGTCTTTGCATCCAAAGGGAAGTGACTTAAACTAAAATCTGGGCCCCTAAGTACTTTATACGTGTGAATAATCTGGGTCTTTATCTCTTTGGACTCCGCCTGGGACACAATGCAGATGCTCACTATCTCCTTGGCCCTTTTGATTTCCCGTGGAAGGAAAGCAAAGTGTGTGAACTGTGAGGGCAGGGCAGCTGGGTGGGTGAGGATTTTGTAGCGTGCTGTGAAAGGCACCTGCAAGCAGCGTTAGTGTAGTTTTTGTGCTGCAGTTAACTGCTCAGATACTGTGTTTCTGACTGTTTTGTTGTTGTTGTTACTGGGCAAAGAAATTAAGATGAAAATGAAATTATCTTCTTTTCAAAGAAGGAAATTACTTTTTTTTTCCTGCAGCATAGCTTTAGAAGCAATAGGACAACTAGTGCCTGGAAAACTATATAGGAACATGTCCAGAAAAGGATGAAAATGAAGAGAAACATTTCA